TTTTGGAACCTGAACCACCAGTTGACAACTCTATACCTTAATGATGACAGTAAGTATGTTGTATGAAAAAAAGAGGGTTTTTTTTTTCATTAGAAATTACAATACCTGTCCTTGAATGAAGTTTGTAATATTTCTAACTCCACCTCAGGGTTTTGATTCCAGCAAGAATTTTTTATTGGTAATTATTTCCACAAGATGGAAAAACAAAAACCAAAAACGATTCATTATTATTTAACATGTTAGTTAAAGAAGGAATATTAATAAAACATTTTATCTCCAGTTGTTATAGTGTCCCTACACAGGATGGTAGTCAAATGGTATTTCGGAATTTAAAAAATCTCAGTTTCTCTGTGTAAGTTGTGTGGAGGAAATGTACCACTTTCCCACATGTTCTGGTGAAAACAAGTACACAATGTTCAGCCAGACGCTCAGCATTGCTGGAGAATTACAAAGCTGGGAAGGAAGGAGATAATTAGTTACACAAATTCAAGTGCAAAGGACAAAAAAATAGAGAGAGAGAAGCATTCACACATTTACAAACCCAGTCTTCTCCAATCCCCCGGCCTTTTTTGCCTTGCAATGCCCTATTGTCTGTCTGTGCCAAATTCCTCCCTTGTCATTCTTTTTATTCCCCCTCTGCTTTTGCACTCTGTGAGACGTTCACACTCCTGGTTGTTCTAGTGAGCGCATTTAAAGTAAAGAGCCTTCAGTGTTCCACTGGCACAGGAGAGAGACTGGCGACTAAAAGACATTTTAACAAATTCAAAGGTGCTTAAAATGGCTAACAGTCAGCTGCTGTTTTAAACCTGTGTCAACTAAATACTGCTTGTTAACAAATTTTAATTATTTTAAATGTTTTTTGGGCTAAATTAGTCCAGGTAATACATTTAAACAACCAATATACTGTTCTATTGTTTGAGGATTCAGAGAACACACTGATTTACATCATCAGTATCCTAATGTTTACAGTTTACCTGAATATGTACATGTTACTTTATTGGTTGCTCTTTTACATTCTAGATTAAGGTATCCTAATGTTTACATTTTATGTTCAAACTTTACCTGAATATGTACATGTTACTTTTTTTTGGTTGCTCTTTTACATTCTAGATTAATGTAAACAATTCTTAAATTGTTAAATTTCATTTATTCCTAAATATTACTCTACTGTGTACTACTACTGACTTACACTTGGGAGTAAAGTTCCCGAAAAAACAAACCAAACAAAAGAAAGTGAATGTATCACAATCCAATGTATGGCATACAATCAACGGATGTAAACACAGCCATCTACTGTGTAAAGCAGACATAGTCTGTATAATAATGGAATAAAACTTCATTAATACATTTTTGGGCTATGGCGACATAACCATGAAAAGTCGTATGTCAAGGATGTCAGATTGATGATTGCAAATGGAACATCTGAATTATGTGGATCCCCTACAGGTACATTGGTAAAAAAAACCATTTCTGGTACAGACCTGAAACTTACAGGTGGATCGTGTTGTTTATTCCACTTAACCTACTCTGTCCTATGTTCTAAAACAAGCTATAGTAGCACCTCTGTGCTAATTAATGCTAATTTGTTTCAAAATCCACCCTCATGGCACTGACACAAAGCTCTGAAAATTTGTTTTATATCAGTTAAAAAGGAAACATTGGAGTTCAATCATCTATCAAAATATTATAGCAGCAGTCAAGGAAGTGAGCACATCATTTTTGTCTTCTATAACTGTGCTAGCGTGATAAAACAAAGTCCAGTCAGTAAAATTATATTATGCTGTTTAATATTTTGCCACAAGGTGGCTGTAGTAACATGTTGAGTACGCTATTAGGTCTCTGATTTTCAGCGTAAAACAGTTTAGTTAAGAAACAAATGTATTCTTGTGAATATGTTTAACCATAAAGAAACGTGTTTCCATGCATAATAAATGTATTACTATATTCCACATTAAATATGATGAAAATATGAATAGACAGAAGCCTTTAACTTTTAGAGTAATAGTAATGTTGTTTGTTTTGAGATTTTTTTCAGCGTGACCTCAGGTTAATGTCTCCTGCAGACTGACTGATAAGCCTCATTAAACAGTCCCACAGTTTGAGCAGCTCCATCTGCTCATTCTTAAAAACACAAACAGTAGACCGCTCCTCAGTGATTACAGGTCATCTGTGAAGCAGGGTCTGAAGGACTGTGAAACCTTCACCATCTTGCTTTTTAATTCACAATGACAAAGTTTAACTGCAAGTCAGCACACAAACCGCAAATGTAATGAAGTAAAGATGAAGAAAAGAGAGTTATCATCTTTTAATGACTAAAATTGGATAAAAAAGAAAATAAATGTTATCACAGGAAAGAAACTTAATTTCCTAAATAATTAGTCTATTTGTTACTTTCAGAGTTTTCTAGTTTTTTAACATAATATATTTAAAGGACAACTGAAATAAATCTAAATAAACAAGTGTAGTAAGTAGAGATATCCGATATCATGGTTTCGTAAGGTCCAGTAAGTGTACAATTGGAACAATAAACTCTCAAAGGCCTAAATACACAATATAAGATTTATTTTCATTGACGTAACTCAGAAAGCAGAGCAACTCAGTCTGAAAACCAAATGTAGAGGTGCCTCAGATTATTGGTACAGCCTGTAGCAAAAGCAGTAAACTGTGAACATGTCCTACTCCCTTAGACCAATCATAGCGCTGTCCATAAATAAAATAACATTTGACAATTACTTAAGAGCAAAAGATTTAACAGAACCAAGCTTTTAAATGATTGTCTTTGATTTGTCGCATCTTTAAATAATTTCCTTTTAAAAGACTTGGGAAACAAAATAATCCCACGACAACACAGAAGCTGAACTGTGGTACCGACAAACCCACACATTTAACATTAGCCTTAGGAGCGTATCGCTGTTGAAATAAAAATTCCTTAAGCTTTATCTGTGACTTCTTCCACCTCACCTTCCACATCCAGCGGCTTTTTAAATCACCGGGGTGAAGACGTTCATCTCGTGCTTTCTATTTCATATGTAACCGGCGTATCTAGGTGACGATGCCGTCTGATTAGATTGGCATTAGCAGGTTCGATGAGTAGCCGTTAGCATACCACACCCGAGCCCCGCGCCGCCGTCTTTGCTCGAGGTACGTCTCGTGCCCCATGGCTATTGTTCACCACAGAGAAGCAGAAACGTCCCCACAAGAGCTGATTTTAAATATTTTCTAACCTCTTCACATCACTGAAACTACCCAAATTTACGTGTCCTGGCGTTCTTCGTGTACATTTGTTTGTAAACGGTTCGTACCTGCCCCAGGATTGGAGTGTGGCTACTGCGTTTCTACGTACTCGTTGCGTGACAACATGAACAGTGACGAATTATGTCACAGCACTGGAGCTGAAGGCCATCAGTTGACATATTCACCACAACATGTTATAAAGAAATGATGAATGTTACCTTAAAGAATGACGAGAGACGCTGTGTAAGTTTTGTTTGAGAAGGGGACAACTGAAGGATGAGTGACGGTGGTTTTCAAATGGAATGAAAATGTTAACACAGGAAGAGAGAAGAACATATGGTAACATAAAAGAATGGCTTGGCTGGTGTCTTTTTGGGACTGAGAAAATAAGACCAAGTCAGATGGTGGTGGAATGGGGGAGTACAGAAAAAATATATCTCTGAGAAGGTAGCAAAGGAAACATGCTGAGGTTTAAATAATAGTGAGTAAACAGAGTGCACTGAACGGGTAGAATTTGCACTGTAAAAAGTTGAGAAAAGAGAAAGCAAGATGGAGGAAGGATGGAGAATGAAGTGAATCGTTGAGAAGGAAGTGTCAGCAGCTTTGAGGACAAAGACTGGACGGACAGTTGATCCAGATGCTGTACCTGTGGAGGCATGAAAGTGTAAGAGAACCTTTTGTCATACATAATACTGCAGAGTGAGGGGCTGCACAGGTACAGTACAGATTATAAAACCAAGTCTGATGTTTTGAGCTGTTAAAGTTACAGATTTACATAGTTAAATAGCCAAACAAAACCAACATTAAACAGAGATGTTGACGCTTAACTAAACTAATTCAGATTAGCAGGCAACAGTTCGGTTTCATGCCCAGAACTATTATTTTAGATGCTTCTCTTATTTTGACAGAAAATTTTAAAGCAAGCCAGAAGAGGAGATCCTCTGTTTTCTTTGGAATCTGCAAGAAGGAAATATAAGAGTTTCCTGAGGGGACATATGGTTAGGAGAGGCAGACAAGTATGTGAGGGTGGTGCAAGACAGTTCTTAGGAGTGATGTATTAGTGGTTGGGGTAACTTTAGGGAACAAGTCATTATGTTTTAACTGATGATGGGCAGGTTAATTAATGAGACCAGACAAGTGGCTCCATGATGCTGTTATCTGTGAGGCTAAAGAGAACCTGAAAGGTCATAGTTTAAATTAGAGAGGAGGGCAATGCAAAGCCAATCATGTTTACGACAATGAGAATAGGGAGGGCGTAGAAACAAGGGTGCTGGCAGAGTGTAATGGTTAGAGATGAGTGATAGGCAATATGTGTGCGGCAGGCGCTGAGGAGAGATATTGGATCTATTGGATGACTAGATGGGGGATGGAGCTGTCAAGCAAGAGTGAAAAGGGCAGAATTTGAGTACATATTGAGAAGACATTGAAGGTGGTGAGGGTAACAGTGGAGGAGCAAAACTGGCACACTGACAAAACTCCTGAATCAAGTATCTGAAATCTTGACTAAGGAGTGAAAAAGGTGATGCCTAGTACATAGTTCAAGCAAATAATCAAAGAAATTAAGTGTTTAGAAAAATAAAGAACATTTTATTTGCCGTGACACTGATGAAAAAACAAAACAGCTGCAACTTAAAGGATGTAGACAAAATGACTGCACCAGCCATGACTGAGACAAGACAGAGAATGGTAACTCACAACGTGACATGACTGGAGGTGAGTGTTCACAACACCAATTCAAAAACTGTTGAGCATCCTCTTAGCCTTTGACTTTCAATCTTTGTCATAACTCTGACTTTATTCTTTATTCAAAAATAAATGACACTAGTGGAACTCAGAACAATAAAGCCATGATACAGAAGGAAGGGCACCTTGTATTTGTTGGACAACTGTAAGTAGTTAAATATTCATGCAACTTTAGAAACATCTGTGTTTAGATCTCTAGGCTAACAATACATTTTTATTCTTTATGAATATCAATATGATTCTCCACATTCTGATTAAAGTCTTTCTCCATGTAAATTAACAGGTAATAGATTTCATCATGTCAAATACGCTGATAAATCATATTTTCTGTATGTACAATAGAGGTACTAAAAAATTACAACTGTCATGATATATGTACAATTTTCTACCTACAAAGTACAACGGCTAGTGTGTAATAAAATATGTAAACAAATTTCTTGATTTTTTTCGACACAGCTGACTGTGACAGCAGATAAAATTCACACTTTAAACATCTGATTTATTTTTGTATACACATTTGTTAACAGTTGTAGTACTGCATTTGTTTTTCCTCCAGTCACCTCCTAGGAAAAGAAAGGATAATAGGCAATTGACCAACAAACGTTTTTCTCCAGAACAGAAAACCACCACTGGTTATGAACCAACAATAGACCTTTGCAATAAAAGATGGTGATTATTTTTTCCCGTTGGTAGCAGTTTGAAGGATACTAAATGAGGGGGATGAGTTCCGATCTGATGACAAAGAACAATTTTGGCATTAAAGAGAACATGGTCCGAGTTAAACACTCCATACTGACCTTTACCATACCTTACTGTAGAGTTAGAATCACATGCATTGTAAAACCAGTCACTTCTTAGTAACAGAACCTGCCACTTGCTCCCACAGAGTGGACACTGACTCTGCGTATGATTATGAGAATAGTTGTGGTGGAACAAAGTCAGCAGAAAAGAATCTGCCCGTAGTGATTTCCACATGTTATGCAGTATTAAGTACTTCTTTTTTTTCTTTTGGCTGTTCTTTTTTTTTCTTTTTCTTCTTTTTGCTCAAAGCAAAAAAAAAAAAGTAAGACACCACATGTGTATTATGTATAAACCATATAAATCTTATCTTTTGACACAGTAGTCCTTTTTTTAATTTTACAGTGATCATGTGCCTGGCCCCTTCATTTTAAAGCACTACATGTGGCATACATGCTGGAAATGTAGAATATTATGAGCCTTTTGCATTTAACAATTATACAAAAAGATTTTTTTTTCTTTGATGCCAAGGATCATATAGCTCTAAAAGTCACTTAGGAGAGTGGCGTAGCTGTGAAATATACCGAAATATACTGATACTGTCTCTGACCAGATAGAAGAGTGAGATCTCTAAAGTTGCTATTTATCCTCGTCTTTATGCTTACAGCTGTAAGTGTGCTTTATATTACAGTACATGTCATCAGTCCAACTACTGTGCACAGTATAAGAATATTTAAGTTCCATATTATACCATCATTTGTCAAAGCTCCTCACAAGGAAATAAATGTTCTCGTAGTGCTCTCTTTCCTTTACTCTTTGCAAGAGTGTCAGTCACACGTAGTACTCCTTATCCTTGTTTTTCTGTTTCTTGTTGCTGCCTTTCAAGCTCTGGTGTTTGTCCTTCATTACAGCGCCATTGCTCTGCACAGCTGAGTTGGTTATGTAGTTCCTGCTCTCGTCCACCTGGTAGGAGCCTTCATCTCTGTTCCTGTACTTATACATGGCATAGAGAAGGATGAGGATGCACAGGGCAGCGGCCGCCACTATTCCGATGACCATCCCGGTGGTGCTGCTAGATTCACGGACCACTTCTGAGGGCCCTGGATCTCGCCTGACGCCTGGCTCTGTGGGGGGTGCTGTGGGTATATTATGGAACATTGGGGAGGTTATTAATGGGCCCCTCAGCTTGGTGCTGTCTACTTCAAAGGATGTGGGCAATGGAAGCAACATTAAGTCGGGCTGGGGTTTTAGCTTGTGTTTATTCTGGCCGGCTTTTTTGGCCGGAGCATTGTGGAAGGTTGCGGCAGAGGCAGAGGTGGCGGTGGTGAGGCTCTGGTCGGCGGTTAGTGGTATGGTGGTAGCAGTAGTCCTATTGCTTCTGAAGATTGATGGTTTGTTTAGTCTAAAAGTCTTGGATGTCTCAGCTTTGTTGCCACCTTCAAATCCTGATGTGGACAAGGTCTTATCTGTTACCAAGTAGAAGGTCGTTAAAAATCTTCATCATCAGTAGGGGGCAGGTTAGACTTGAATGCGTTCCCAGAGCCATACCCCGATATCACCATGCCATCATCATCACAATCATCGCTGCCTCGATCCGACAAGCAAGGTACCCCCGCCTCAGTGGTCTTGGACAGGGACTCTTTGGTGGTCTCAATAATGGTGAAGAGTAGGTGGTGGGTAAGGGGAGTGGGAATGGAGGGTGCACGAGAAGCTACAGGGGTAGGGCTAATGGGTCCTTGAGTACTGGGATGACTAACTCAGCTCCTGGAGTTGGAAACAGTTAAACAGTTAGAGGACGGCAGGTGGGTTTCCCGCAATATTGTAAAAACTAAAGCTGACTCATCTAGACATAACAAATAACCATGCAAACAGAAAACAAGACGATAAACAAAAGCCTCAACTCATATACGAGCACTGCCAACATGTACAGGGGTCCTCGACTGACGTTGGAATTCTGTTCCTTTGCAGTGTAACTCACTTCCGTTCCTTCACAGTACCTATCTCACTCACCTATGCTAACGCAGTGGTGGTGTCATAAGGAAGGAAAGTAAATTTGATCTCTGCATTTTACCCATAACCAATGTGAACAATGGGCAGCTCGGGCGCCCAGGGAGCAGTGTGTGGGCACGGTTCTATGCTCAGCGAGTGGTAACTTGACAGCTGGTTAACTCAAACCTGAAACCCTCCAGACCCAAGTCAGCTTCCTTAACCACTAAGCCACCACTGCCCCAGAACAAACGTTAGAAGAGTCTGACTTTCTGACACTCTCGCATGGGAGGCATAATGAAGGGCAAAAAGTTCAGAAAAAAAATCAGAAACGAAAGAAAGCAAATGTAGCACAATCCAATGTGTGACATCTTTCGTGAATAGCATTGCGTAACAACCTATTCATCTGCTCCGTTCGCCAATTAGTTCCCGTGCAAAATAGTTGTTCAGTTTTTGGAATGATTACCAGGTCATGGACGTCGTAAACTGAGGACCCTTGTACTGTGCATATTTCTGATCTAATCTGCCTAAAGGTTTAAGATGTCTTTGGAAAGTTGTCCACATGAGATATCACTTTTTTTCTAATTTACGTTAAAATCCTCGAACTTTCCCCTATCAAAATATAAAAGAAAAGAATATAATGTCATTCAATGCAATTTTACAGCATTTTGGATATAGCAGTTAATTCTCTGCTCAGTTACTGCTAATTGGCCAATATATATAATATTCAAATGGATTCTTAGGGTTAGAATACAAATGCATCCAGTGGCATTCACAAGGGCTACTTTTCCTAACGTAAAGATAGTAAATCAAGTTAGTTTACTTATTCTTAGAATGCATTCTCACTTATTCATCAGATTATACAAAAATACTGAATTTGCCTGTATTTGTACTTGTTTTTTTATGAACTGATATTGATATTACAACCTGATTATAAGACTGCTGCTTAAATTAATAACTCCCAACTCAACGATCATCTTAAACCTTTGACTTTTCTTAAGACCATACAGATGTTGTAGTTAAACAAATTGTCTCAGAAAACCAAGCTTTTACCTTGGTAAAATTGTTCTAATTTAAAATTCTGTAGCATTAGCTTCCATAGTTAGCCTGTTTTGAAGGTAAACTTTCAAATGTATTAAAATAAGCAATGTAATACATCAGGATATGGATAACCAAATGTTTTTGTTGAAAAAATATTTGAAATAAAAATTCTAAATTCAATGTCACAATGTTCAAGAAGGTAGTTAGTCACCAATTGTCATCTTTTGGAATTGTTTGTCAAATACAGGGTTTGTTTATTCACCAAGTCCTAATTATGGAAATGGTATAAAAAGGTTTAAATAGGACTTTTTTCATTGTATGTGTTATTATTAGAAGACATAGTTGCCATAGTTTCAGAGCAGCTAGATAACCAAGAGTAATTTGTTTAACTGGTTGTAAATTTGACCTGTCATAGTGAGTGAGCGATAAAGCAGTAACCTGAATGTTGACTCTCAAGACACTTAGACAAACCCTAATAGGGTTCTCTAACAGCTGCCAGGAGAGTAAACATTTAAGTCATCGCTAGTGTGAAAAGGTTCATCAAACATTTGTATGGTCAGATCTTATACACATTTTGCATTAAAAAAAAAAAAAAAATCGAACAGACACACATCACACAAAAAGTACCAACATACAGTAAATCTACAAGCATGCACGCTCGCCAACTTAATGCTAGAATAGAACTACAAGTATGAACACACAAGCATAATAATAATTCATAAATATAATTTAAACAAATATCTTTATGTTTACAGATTGAAATCAATGATGCAGTTTGAAATATTTGAAATTCTCCCCCTGATTATTTGTGGGGTAAATTAATTATAAAAAGAAAAGTTCTTTCTACACTCAGCCAGATTATGTAAACAAGTAAAAACAAACAATCATTGACAGGCCAACATAATACGCATTTAACTGCACATTGATTGTAATTTCCTAATTATTTTAATTTAATCTATTCAACTTTCCAAACATGACAAACTGCATCTCAGAACAAACAGTTTGAGAAGAAAAAAGATTTATCGTCAACTTACATCAACAAATTGCCCGAATGTTTTAGGCATGTAAAAAAGAAATTTACAAAGCAAATGCTGTGTGAGAATGTTTGATAGCCACTTGGTACCACTGAAAATCACTTAGCCATTGTTGTAGAGTGTCCTCTATCTTAACACATGATGGTACAGGGAGGCAACAACACATACATCCACACCACATAACATAAAAAATAAACACCATAACTCTGGTTTTTCCTCATGTTTTCTTTTTCCTGGTAATCTCATTTTACAAAAGTGTATATCTACATTTCTTTTTCATTGCAATAGACTTCAATGTTATCTAAAATCTATCCATGTGTTTGCTTAATCATCATTTTGTTCTTTTGTGTATAATGGATTACGTCTTCATATTTTAGCCAACCTAAAGACAAGGGAGGAGGTGAAGAAGGGGCGGGACCTATGAACACACTGCATAGGAAATGAGGGTGATGAGGGTGACAGTGTAAGTCAGTTGCCATGTCCATGTAAAGGCAGTACGAAGCGGTCGGGCGGCACTGAAGTTTTTGGCTGTAAGGAAGGGATGGGGATATACAAACATTGAGCAATATACATGCCCGTCTACAGAAAAGAACAGAAGATATCTAACACTGACAGATCTGACAAACCCTAAACTGCAACTTCTTAGCCATGCAATTCATTTGTTTTTTGTCTTACAGTCAAAGTATTAATCTGCCAAGGTTATTTTTTTGTTCTCTTAAAGAAGACTTTAAAAAAAAATCTCAAAAGTAAATGTTAAAGAATGTCAAAAGTGATTGTGGAACTGCCTCATCTACTATTTTGTGGGTTAGTACTTAGGATGAAGAACCTGCAACTGTTTTACGCAATAGTATAACTGGTTAAGTAATACATAAAAAATATGCTTTTTCTTTTTAAATAAATATTTGCCAGGAGAGAAGAGGAGAAAATGAAACACACAAGTTAGTCAGCGAAGTAGTTCCAAATCACATGAAGTCAAATTATATCAAAAGTATTTCACACTGTTTGAATCTTATCTGACTGACAAAATACAAACCAAACATTCTTAATATGCCCAAAAATCATAGTCAGAACCAAAATGCCAGTGATCAACTGGATAAATGCAGATTATGTGACGAGTTAAACCTATCGAATGAGATATGTTAACATGAAAGAACAAAGCCATTTAAAAGTTTTGCACACACTACAACCAGATGCACACAATAGAAAACAGACACGGTAGAGAGAGGCACTCAACTCAAGGACGGGCTCCTCTCTCTAATTTGCTTCTTGATGACAAATCTTTTGATAATGTTAGTCTCAAAAATGAACCGGCCGTGCAGTCTGGGTGTACATCAGAGGGAGACGGTACTGGCTGACAATGGGTTATTATTCCTTAATTTTGGATTGGTTTAGCCATACCGCAGGATGTTGATGCATGCTTAAAGTAAGTTGCATTTAGGGAAAGTAGAAAAAAATATAGCAAACTGAGGGCAGGTAAAAGTGAGCAATGTAAGAACAAAAAGAAACAAAACAAAAAACAGCAGATGGACACTGTGTTCCAATCCCTTACTGTTACAAATTGGTTTACTAGGTTCACATGACAGTGAACTTCCAGTAAAACAGGACCTGACACTTCTTTGTGCAATAAATATGTGAATGCGAATTCAGTGTTTCCACACTCTAGAATTAATTAATAGCACAAATATAGTCAAGAAAATGTGAACCCTAAATTAAATGTCCTTATTATATGGTCAGTGTGAAATTGGGACACAGCTTGGGTTGACATCAAAGCACTGAAAGTGGAAGAAGAAGAAAAAAAGCCCACAGACAAAAAACACCAAGTTTAAATGTGTTTTCATGTACACTTCCACACTTTGGTCAAAAACCAAATGAGATTAAAGCTGATATCCATATTGATTTTAATCTAATTATATAAGTGGTACACATACTGTTAAATAAAAAATATTAATAAAGGGCACATTTGTTGTTGTGCCTCATGAATTATGTCAGAAATATTGGTGTTCTGATAAAATTAAAAGGACTAAAAATTCAAAAGGAGTTAAACATTTTTATTTTCTAAATGTAAAATTTTAAAAATATTTTTTTCTTTTAAAATGGAATTTAAGTTGAATACCAGCTATAGCCCCACTGTCTCTTTTGACGTTTTCCTATATTTTGTCAAATGCAGACTAAATGGTTTATTTTTTAATGTGGACAAAATGCAGCACAGAGCAATTCCATAAGACGGCACAATGTGGAAAGGTGTTTAAAACATTTTAGACTATTTACTAACTATAACGTTACTATTTCTGACAACGTGAGAGGTCTATCAAAATTAATACATTACTTAGATACAATCATTACTACGTTCAGAATGGTAGAACAATAAAACACTAAACACTAACTGAATTTACCTTAATATGTATTGCACCTAAACAGATCGACATCTGGACATTTAAATATGGTCACACAACCTAGTATTTTCTCACAAAATAAAGCTAAGCAAAATATAATATTTAACATTTTCCAGTTCACAAAATATAATATTTAACATTTTCCAGTTAAATAAATGAACGTTAATAATAATAATGTGTGTATTTCCGGTAAAAAAAACACACAACAAGCTTAGAATTTGCTGTGCTCCTTGATGCTACATATTTGCCGAGCATGCGCATGCGTATATGTTCCCACCCTGCACTGGATTGGCTCACAAGTTTCCCGCCCCTTACCATGACTAAAACCAAAACTTTTGGCTCACACAGTTTAAGTCGGGATATGCTTTTAATAAAGTTCTAAATAATAATAATAATAATAATAATAATAAACACTTAACGAGTCTGGTCTGCTGAAAACGGAGTGAGTGTTAACGCCTGTGTAACTTACAGGCGTTAAACTCACTCAGTCAATTCAGTCTTCAACGTTAACGTAATCACGTTTTCGGACTGTTAGAGAAAACCAAAGGGGGAAAGCATGCACTCAGGGAATACGAACTACTTATTTCCCCCCACAGTGTGGCGCTACTCTCATAAATTTAAAAAATAAATAAAGTTGACATCAGCAAATTATTGTCATTTGATTGCCCCCTATTGGCAGAAAATCTCACACTATACCTGAGAATTGTGTGGGTGACCTACCTTTCTGATACAATGTGAGCTATTGAGCATTTGTTCTACAGTTTATAGTCTATTGAATCCTTATTTGCCATCTTATGAAACCAAGCTGTTAATAAGACGCTGACAGGTTTACAACAGAGAACAGAATCACTTTTTGTCTCCAAACTGAAAGCGACTGCACTGACAACAGTGGACAGTGAGTAGGAGACGACAGTGGGTAGGAGACGACAGTGGACAATGGATAGGAATACAACAGTGGAGGAGGTGAAATGAAATTGACTCCATGACCGCCAAAACTTAACTCAAAAAGGCTGCAGAGGACACAGCCAAGATGGTGTGAATGCAAAGGGAAGGGCAAATGAAGAACTCATTCACAAAAGCATGCAAAGACATAATCAATGCTGGTAACTCAAGGTGTAATAATATCAATAATGGCAGAAAAAAAAGGACATTTTTTGCCATCCACATTTACAAAAAGATAAAACATTGGGAATGATTGATCCATAAAAATTAAATTAAGCATTTTATGTTTACAGGTTAATGTCGATGGCAAAAAATGTTAAAAATTAAATTTAGCATTTTATGTTTGCAGGTTAATGTCGATGGCAAAAAATGTTAAACAATTATTAAACTAAACTTCATGCCACACCTGGAGAAGCCTAATCACAAATGTGCTTTTTTTGTGATTGGTGTATGGACAACATGTCTGAATGATAATAAAAAACAACAACATAAAAACACAACACCCACCTAAACCAGATAGACCAGTGACTCCCAGAACAACACATAAAGCCTTAAAAGGATAGTTCAGCTATGTTTTTCATTTGGGGTAGAGGACTGACCTGTAGGTATAGTAGTTGACCCATAGGTATAGTAATTGACAGTACAGTAACAAGAACACTCTATAACCAGGATGTTTTTTTACCCACCACTTTGCAGTTAATTTTATACTATATGTACAAAGCAAAGATTAATATGCCTTTTTAATATGATATATATTAAACTAACCTGATTCCACAGGTTCCAAAATCAGAGCTAATTTATTTCTGATAACAGTAACATAAAAGTTACATTGCAGAAACGTGATTCAGAAGCAATTATCACCAGTAGACTGGTAGAAGCTGGGAACTGCACTGTCACACTATTTGACAACTCTGGGCAATACTAACAGTTAGTGTGAGTCCTAGCACAGGTGTGGGTTACTTTTGTCGATCAAATAACTGAAATACTGTTTGTGTTGGACTAGTTACAGACCAGTTCTCTTTTCGCCTCTGCTTTGAAAAACAAAATCCCCTGAAAAACATCTGAAGTCTCCCTTTAAACCACAGCATGCCATCGTCATTGTCGGAGTGATGTTAGTGTTAGAATAAGGTGAATTTCTGTGTCAACACATGACAGGATGACAGGGGCCCTGTCTTTGTCTTTCTTCACGAATCCCCATGTGGATCTCAGCACAAATTGAAACCATTTATTTCACTAACTTAGGCTTCTTTGAAAAAACTTGGGAGTGATCTTTGTTGGTAATGACCTGTTAATTATCAGCAGAAAAGCCCCAAATTCCACAGCCAGCCGATTCATTAATGTGTTAGGAGTTGACCAGACTTCAAAAATAGAAACATTATTTTTATAGAGTTTTATATTTATAAATATGGTTATTTTCATTGTCCAATTGTTTGTTTGTGACTATCCAGGGGAAATAAAAAATACTACATGTTAACTATGAAAAAACAAATCCACGAGTGTTTATGGTTATTATCATAAGAGCTACACTGTACTTCAAACACCTGTTTATGATTTAGAATGGCTGTTTGCTCTTTCTAACCAAAACCAATATGGAAATTCCCAAATTCTTTCAAACTCAGTGTTTGGATAAGTATTTCAGATTTCTTTTTCCTCCTAATATTTAGATACAAACACTTAACAGAATCACAAGTAAAAGGAAGCATGATCCTAAAAGAATAAAAAAAAGCTTGTACACAGAAATTCAATGATATCTGTTCTCTTTTATATGTGCCAACACAAGCGTCTAAAATGAGAAACCACAAATGAAAACAAAAAGAAAATGTGTCAATAAAATCAAAACGATAAAAAATCTGTTTTTTTTTTTTTTTACAAAAGACCTTTGCAAGGCAGCAAAATGGCAGGAGCAGTGGAACCAAACCTGAGCATCAGTGCAGAGAACATGGTTCACCATCATTCAGATTTTTTTCCACACTGATTACACTCACAAACCTGTATTATTCCATCCAGCAGACAAAATCTGAATGGTGACCATGTTAACCACTGAAACTACCCCATGTGCAAGTGTAGCTTATTGATGTAAATGTGTTAGGTATCATATAGCAGCACATTAGCTAAACTGCCTCACTGAAGCACTTGTATAATCACTCAAAAATTGTGTTGTTTTTTCCTTTCCTTTTTTTACATAATTGAGCAAACTATGTCTTATCTTACCCCACTATGTGTAGCTATTGAGGCTGTTATAATAAAGTTACACTTTGTCTAACCATGGGGGTGTGATGCTTTTGGAATTTCTTGATCCTCCAGTGCAGATGAATGGAAGCACAAAAAAGGCAAGCAAATACACAAACTAACCTAGCCCACCTGCATGGCCAGTTTCACACTCCTCCAGGTCTTCGTCGTCGCTTGAACACTCTGCGGAGGACCCTATCTCATCTGCCGTGTGCTTTGGGCACAACACCCACACACAAGGAGCAAAACACAAAGGAGACACATGAGGTTAACGTGGCCCAAACCTTGAAAAATATTTTGCACAAACATTAATGATGTGTGCTTTAAAAATAGTTTAATGCCCTGGTAACAGACCAGTCAGATGCCTCAGTGCTCTGAAGAACTTTTATTGAAACCCAACTGCAGTAACTCGTTCTAAACTCCTTTACTGCTCTCAACCCAGCTTCTCCAACAACGCATTTTCCTCTTCTCACACTCTCTGCACTCTCTCTTCCTCATACACACACGTGCTCTCACCACACCTCCTCAGTCCCCCGGCCCCCCATAACCCCTTCATACCACATAAACACAGAACAGTATCAACGCTAAACAGGCCTCTAGATGGCAGCATTGTAGCTGGCAGCATTGTAGCTTATTTTTTTAATCTATAGTGATAATCAGGGGGTTGTATGCAGAATGCTGGTGCCAACAACTCTTACAGTGGTTTGTACAGATAAATAAACAAATATTACTGCTCAATAGTATTTTAATTTTAGGGAGGGTTAAAAAAACTTCTGTCCCCAATATTGCCATATCGAATATTGGACATCCCTAATATAAATGATAAAAAGTGGCAAATCAACTGCTCGAGGGTGTAAACTAAATCACAGTTAGATATACATTATATACATAGGACATGGAAAATAAGCTGTGGTAAATCATAATTACTGGTTAAAGTTGTAAAGTTGAAATTTGGGGATTTTGTGCTTTTCAAACCTGGGTCGCTAACAGCCCAACCGACGCCCTTAGCAAGACTCACTGACTAGATATTAATTCTAAACTCAGTGTAAATAAATGCAACATATTGCACCCTATGTGACAAAGCCTTAACAAAGTAACAATATGTAATACCTGTACGGTTGAAGAGGATCTGTGTTTCCTTGTAGTAGTGGTAGACATCATGGTGGTGGTCTCAATGAAGGACGTGGATAAATCTGGGGGCAGGGCTGTGGATCTGGCAGAGCCGCTGGGCACATCACCAACCAACCTCACACTGCCATTGATCTTGATGTTAGGGTTGCCCTCAGCAGCCATGCTCAACACCTTCAACCCATCATAGTAAAGGCCAGAGAGTTGGCCCTGAAAAGGCCGACCACGGTCACTTCCACCAATCGCCACCTTGGCTTGAGTGTTGAATATCGTCAGCTGCCGTCCTAAAGAATATAATAATATAGACATATATTTTTTTACATCCTACTTATAGATTTGTGGTCAGGTTTAGAACCCAGACATAAACACTGAGCATAAAAATACTGAAAAGTTTCACTGTTTTTTCACTCAAAACAACCTAACTTCTTATCACAATATACAAATGAAATACATGTATAATTATTTGAATATTTTAAGTTTTATCATGTATCCATTAGTTATTCCTTTTTAGATGAATTGGTGAATTTATAAGGCATTAGGTTCGGTGAGTTAAATGCAAATAACCATTTTTGAAATAGAGAACAGGGTTTGATAGGTTGCGAAACCTGAGCCCAACCTGGATCAGAACAACCATGCTGTATTTATTATCCATTAAAATCACAACACCACACGGTAGTTAAAGAACATCTAAGCACTGAAGTGTGGTGACTGTCTGTTCAACATGAAAGGCTGATGTAATCTTCCACATATAGATGCATAAGTGTATGTGAATACGTGGTGTTGGCAGTAAGTGCAAAACAAAAAGTTACCTTTCTCTTGTAGCCACTCGTCTACTTGTCTGGTGTATTTGAAAGGAATTTTCTTATTGGCCATTTGATAGCGTTCAATGTCACTGTTCCCTTTAAAAGTTTAAAAAGAAATTTATCAAGACATTTATTGACCATCAGGATATCGTCACAACCTGTTAGTTACAGTAGGATTAAATCATGTTATCAAGTCATAGTTTAAAATAGGCATTAGTTTAAGCTGTCACTAAAGTTTAGTAACTGTCTGTTAACACAACGCAGTGAAAGCAGGGATTAACAATGAAATTTGTGTGTGATACATTCCTTCTTAGATTAAAAGACAACAACAACAATAATAAATTGAGAGCTGCAAATGGTTTAAAGGCACTGAAATAGAGGAGTTTGGTTCATGATGGTGAAACTGAACCACAGTGGAAGTGAGTGAGATGAGAAAATGCTGTTGTTTGACTGTAAATGAAACAGAAGACAGAGTACAGCGATTGGTTTATAAGAACTACCACAAAGAACAGAACTATTTGTTAGGGATGACCCAGTACTCAAGGTTGGTATCGGTTTGATATTGGCCAAAATTTTAGGATCAAATGTCATAAAACCAACTAAACAGGGACACTATGGAGAAACAGGTTGATATCAGTATTGACAGATACTCCATGTTGCAGTATCAATAACATATTGGACATGAAAAAGTTGTATGGAGACATCCCTAGTACTGTATATGTTGAGGTTAGACTTTTACACTATTACAACTTCAACATATATTCATGTCATAATACTGCTTGTCATGTAGAGCATCCATGTAAAAAGACACAGCAAATGAGTTTCTTTTTAATAAGGTTAGTGTCGAAACCCAATCGGACGTCTGTAAAACTAGCGCATATCAAAAACACCCCCCCATTGGTCCCTTCCCTGGTTTGCTTGTATCAAAAACACCCCATTGGTCCCTTCCCTGGTTTGCTTAGAGCTCTGACTTCACTGACACTGAGAAAAGTTCTTTGCTGCGTCAGCATGATGGAAATATGGCTATCGTAAAGCACCCGGAGTGTTTTTGTTTAATCACATTGGATTAGGTGGAAAAGCCTCAGTGAGCTCCTTATCTGTTTCCTTCACACACAATACAGGCAGCATTTCCCCCAATAGTTTAATACGGCTTCAAGATTGTGTCTGATAGTGGTAATTGTATTTGTCCTTCAGGAGAACACTGGGTGGTGCAGTAAATCCAAGCTGCGTCTGCAGTCTAGGTGCTCAACTGAATGCTACCCACACTCTCCCAGACAGTTGTTTATTATCTATATTACATCATCATTTTATGTTCTCTTCCATTTATTTCCCTCCTATCACACCGCCAATACAAAGACCAATTTCATATCAATTTCACTCCCAAACCTTTCAAATTGTCAAGTACTGACACAAAAGGTGTCACGAACACGAGACCAAAAATGTTGGTGTACTTTGATAAATCAAGAGCGTGGTGGCAAATGAACCCGTCCAGTGAGACACATTAGCATTAGCGGTGCTGTGATAATGAGTGGGTAACTCTTGGTGACAATGGAAACGACCAAGACAAGACAGGACAGCAGGAGTACCTAACTCCGTACCTGTTGGGAAGTGCTCGTTGATCGACCAGTTATCCACCTGCAGCGTCGCATTGCCGCCATTCCTGGTGAAACGGACAACGTGGTACTTCCCATCATTCACTGGGGTACTGCTCTCCGTCACACTGATATCCACCGTGCCGATGTTGAACGTGACGCCAATTTTCCCTTGTTGCTACAATGATGGAACACAACGTTTCACTACAGACATGGACACGTCGTCTTGAATCTGAAGTACACACAGTACTGAGAGGAAAGTAAAGTGTTGATCTTTAAGATATCTGAGGTTCTATTAAAGATATATGTTCATTTTTCTATTCAAATAGTAGTTATATAAAAATGAGCATAGATAGTAAAATTATTATTTTTTATTTGTAGATAAATAAGTACTTTTTAAGTTATGCTCATAGTCATTTGAGGATACTCCAGTAACTAGCGTCAGATTAGCAATGGTTGGTGAGTCACTTCCATTCAGTCAAGTCTGTGGAGAATTCTACATGTAATCCATAGAAATGCTGCTTTTGAGGCCACAGACTAAAGCACAGAGATAGAAATAAAAATACTCTCACTGTGGAACAAATACTTTTTTTCTCTCTTCTGAATATCTGTAACTTTCAGTAACAGTTGGATGAAGAAAACACACGGCAACAGAAACACATAAGAAATTGCCAGACATTCGAGACACAAACATGAACTCACTATGTGCAACATGAGATAGTCCCCCAGACCAGGTGCGCTATCGATCCGAACCAGGATGCCGTCCTTCAGAGAAGTGCTGAAGCCAACAGTCAGCCTGTCTGTCCTGGTGCTTGGCCTCTCATTGGCCGGCCAGTTGAACGTAATGAGGCCTCCGCCTTTGCCGAAGATGTACGTTGTTCCAGCTACCAGGAGCAAACCAGGAGAAATTCATTGTTAGGATTTTACTTTGCTGCACAAACTAAAGCGTATTATTAGGAAATGAAACATTTAAAGTACATGCATATAGTAATACTGCATCACTGTGATACGATTTAACATCAGAATAAAGAGAGGTCACAACAGTCTCCAAAAGGTCAATATTCATGTTTGTACCATCACTAAATTCAGATTACATTACAGTGATCAGTTCTACTGCTAATACAACACAGAAAGGTCAATATAAACCGTTGTTTCCCAAAGACTGGGTCGCGACCCTCAGGTGGGTCGCAAGAGTTTTCTTTTTTGGGTCGTTTCCCATCATGTTCCCCAGGAGTTTATGAATAATGTCTATTGACTTGGGTCGTGGAAGTTTGTGACTTGCTGTTAAAAATCGTGTGCCGCCCATAACAGCACAGTCTTTGTCAAACGAGGGATAACAATATTTCTGAAAAATACAAGTCAACTTCCTGTCCCTTTGTAATATTTGAAAGGCCTGCTAAAACATTTAAACCTATTATATCCTAATATGTGTGTTGTCCAAATGAAATAGAGATCATGTCTTTGTCCTCACATTACAATGAGATGCAAAACAACCAAACAGGACGACCACGAGCAGCTTCTTAGAAGAACGTATCAAACAAAAGTGAAAACTGAAAATAACGCGAAGACACAAAATTAGACACACTCGTCCCTGATCTCGTCCCACAGAAGAGAGATCATTTGACAGAGTCCCCAAAGTCTGTAAAGTAATAAAAAGAAAATCCTAGAGTCAGATGAAAACATGTATTTGAGAGAGGCACTATGGAAACCCAATCACAGTCCCATTATTATCTGTCATGTTTCACATATGGGACTGGATTGTTAAAATGGCATCCTTAATGAAGTTTGGGCCCCAGAGTTCCTCTGCGGCAGACTGATCAAAATGTGATTGTGTTCATCACGCTTCGCTGCAAAATAAGGACGTTTGTTTCTGTTTGAATGAAAAAGACCGCTTTTGGTTTGGTCTCCAATGCAAATGTGGGATCAGGACTGCTGTGACAGTACACCCCCCACCCCAACCATCCCCCCCCCACACACACACAGATTTTGTAGATAACATCAACCTGTCAAACAGAAAGACTCTGAAGAGAAGAGAGTAAAGACACAAACTTCACTCCTTACTGTGTATTGTTAGAGTATGTGGTTCCTCTGGGGTTCAAACCCTCTGTGTGTAAAGCAGATGTGTAAGGCAGGCGTGAAAACCGCTACATTATGGAACCATGTGTTCAGATACTCAAGCCGTTGTCCCCCATACTGTTAAGTACTGCAGTCCCAGTCACTCTATTGGACAGTTGTGTCAATCAGTCAGTTGTAGACTCACTCACTGCCCTGAGCTGAAGCTGGTCTGACACAGGTCAGAGTCTGACCTGAAGTTAAAGCCTCCACAAACACACGGTTGATGATGAATTTTAGGTTTCAGCTTTGCTTTTTTCCTGCAGTGTTTAAAAAACAACGTGTCCATCGACTGTGAGTAAGAATATATACTCACACTGGATGGATATACAACGCATGGACTTCTGCTTATGTGGTAAAACATGTCAGAAAATGTAATCTGAAAAACTCTGGTCTCTTATTGATCCTCATCATGTTCTTCCCTGACTTTTTATTGGAAGATATGTCTTTCAATCATCCCGGTTAAATCTTCCCTGGAATTTTAAAGCATGAATTTGTCGACTTAAACAGTGGTGTTTGTTGACTTTGAGTGTTTCAAATAAAAAGGGAAGATTCTCTCAACATGATCCAATTGAAGTAGATTGCTCTGCCTCACCTGTGCATGATACCAGCTGACAAAAGAAAAACACTCACTTTGTGTGGTAATAGTTTAAAATGTTACTTTGTGGTTGATATTATTTTATAGTACGTTTTATGCTTTTACCAACTATTTCTGGCCGTGCACAGCACAGGTCGATGATGACCGCCTTTTCCTGAATCATTACTAAAACAAACTGCATTACCTCAAAACATCCACAGCGGGAGAAACAGTCTTCTGACATTTGAGGAAAGTGTTTCTGATTTCTCACTTTCTGTTAACACTGCACTGCCAACCCTCCGTCCTCCTCCTCCGTCTCCACACTGCCACGTTGTAAACTACAGTAAAGGCTACTGAAAATGATGGTCTTAAAGGTCAAAGGCTCAGATTATGGATTATTGTGCTTCGTTGGCCAAAATCCCAATACCAGGAATGCAAGACTACTGACTATAATTTCCTGAAGGGAACTTATAAGATAGTAATATAGTAATGATTCTGTCTGTCCATCCATCCATCTACTGTTACAGCTATTCAGTTGATCTTTGTGTGAATATGAAATATCAGATTTCTGTGTTCTTTGATACATTTGTGAATACTTTAGTCCTGAAACCACAAGGCACAATAAAGACCTGCCTTCAGGGAATCTTCTGATTTTGTGTTCAACCTGCTGACAGCCAGTGAAAGTCTCTAAGCTGCACACATTCACACACATTCCACTTTTTTTTTTCCTTCACTTGTCATGTAGCAGTGTCATTTGAAGCTGAGCAGGCATCGGTGTGATGAAAATGAGACAAAGGAGTGAAGAGGATAAAGAATAAAAGATAAATCTTGAAATTGAGCAAACATTTTTTAGGGTTTATATTTTTTGTGTAAATTACCCATTGAAAGGAAAATGCAAACGATTCACAAATGTAGGGCTGAGTGACGTCAAACAAATATGATATATACAGTAGTATATAATAATATAATAAACACACACCTGCAGACTGCGTACGAACTCTACTCAATAGATGTGTCTTCTCTAAACCAGTGGTTCCCAATTTATTTCAGTAGCTGTGACTTGTGTAGTCACATGATCGCAGCCGTCAATCAAGCTGCACCATCTTAGATATTTTATATGCTGCGCTGTATTTGACTTATCTACATATAAGTGAAAGAATGCAGTTGTTTATGACTTTGTGAGGTGTTTTTAAATATAACTTTTAAGATATATATATAATTAACTAAATAATAATAATCAGTTGAAAAAATATTTTTATCAATCATTTTTATCAATTACGAAACTGTTGCCTAAGATTTTGAATTAAAGAATACTACATGACTAAGATTGGTTTCACATGATATGTGCCATGTCATATGAAACCAACTCGACCCGAGATTGTTCAGTCTTTAATGTTTTTGTTAATTTTCCGCACACGTCTCCGTCTGACCCATGTGCTACTCACCATGAACACTCTTCAGAGATGCCGGTGGCCTCTTTATGGAGCCTGGCGGAGAGACGTGATGCCTAATTGAGCGCAGGACATGCGGTTGACCGTGCGCAAGAGAAGCAGACACCACCTGTGGTCTGGCGGGAGCAGAGTTCACTCCCATCCAGAGCGGGGACACACTTTGCTTTGTTGACCCAACAAAACATCCCAAACACAGCAACACCACCCAGGCTGTCTGACAAAGGCTGGGAAGTCCACAGACATGAACGTTGGCCCAATTCATGGGACCCCATAAAGGCAGAGCGCCCATAGAGAGCATAGAAGAAGGCAGCTGGAGTCAACGAAATATGAAGCACAACAGAGTTCTGCAGTGACCAAAAGTGTCATTATTGACGTGACCCCATTATATTAATGACCAGCAGGCTGCCGACATGCACTTCCTCCACACATCAGACTTCAGTCGGCAGAACAAAAGGTGAAATAACTTTCAGCAGTCCACCATAAGATCTTCTTCCTTCAGATGACTTTTTACACAGAGAGCAGCATCAAAGACTGGAAAGGCTCCGCTTGGCTCTTGGTCTGAATATGACGCATGGTTGAGTCAGTGCAGGCATCTATTGGCTGCTCCCTCCTCTTCATCCTTAACTCACTCTTACGTCTCTGACTAACACCCCGTCTCAGATATCTAGCCACGAAAGGTCAAAAAAAAAAAAAAAAAATCCTCTGGTTGTAATCCTTGTGCAATTTGCATTTATCTTGCACAAACCAAAGAGCCAATGAGAAAGTAAGATATTCCCCCCTCTGATCGATTCTGCACACTCGTGGTCTTTCAGTGGAGTTAGAAACACCCACTAAAATCAAAGTAGAGAATTTCTCTTTGGTCTGAGTCCAGACAAACAAAACCTCCTTTTGATACAAAGTCAATCTTTCCAGTCTCCACATGCACTCCGACAAAAGAAGCCAAGCGGAGTCGATGTGGAACCAAGACGAGCTCAAGCCGGAGTGAGGAAGGCAAGGGGAGAGGCAGAGATAAAAAGAGAGGAAGCGAGAGAGACGGAAAAGGGAGAGTGAGGGAGAGAGGGAGAGAGAGAGGGGGAATACAACTGGAAGGTACAGCAACGTCAAAAGGGTAGAAGGTATTTTCGAGTTGAAATATAAAGTATCTTTATATATTGTATATTTTCAACACAAATATATTTAATAAGAAGAGACAAAACCTTGACAAAAAAAAAAACAGTCAGAGAAGAATGCAAAGTGTGACCACTGAAAAAAGACTTTCTTATTGTGACGGGGTGTTGGGACAGGGCCGTGTGCTGATTGGTCCACACTAGGCCTGGACTTGCAAGATGTTCGGAAGACCAACCTGAACCACTCTTCACAGGACTTCTACAAAGTAATTTATATATATACTGTATATATTTTTTAGAGATGCAACCTTCAACCGGCCAGTGACTGGAATCGGCCAGTTTTCAACATGGCCGGTACCCTGAATTTCTTGTTTTGTTGTTTTTGCACATTTGTTCTACATTGTGGAAGGATCTCGGAGGCAGCCAAGAGATCTCCAAGCTTGTTATTTGTAAATTATAAGTAGGTAACGGTAAAGTCAACAGTGGAGGAACCACCACACAATTGTTCAGGAGAACAAATTCCAAAGAAGAGTTACTTTTTGTTTATAATTTTAATAAAGGAAATCTGAATCACCAAACAATGACAAACCAACCAAATAAACGTCCAAAAGAATTGAAATCTCTTTCTTTTGCTTGGT